CGCGTTCTCGAAGGAGGCCGGCAACCCTGCGCAACCTTCACGCCCGCCGCTTCTCTGGCCTCGCCCAGAGGCAGGCCATCGACATTCAGGCCTCCGCTGACGGCAAGGGCGTCGTGCTCTCCGTCAAGTCGAGCAAGCCCAGCCTCAAGAGGAAGCCCGCCAGCTCGTGGCAGAAGGTCACCCTCAAGAAGGATTTCCGCCGCACGGCTCGCGCCATCCAGGGTGCTTCCCGCAAGTACAGGTCCGACCTCACCAGCGCTGCCCTCGCCCGTTACACCAAGCTCTACTACGCCGCCAAGTCCAAGGGTGTTGCCAAGAAGCCCATCACCCACAAGGCCAGGAAGAGCGGCAAGACGCTCGCCAAGGCCAGGAGGGGCGGCAAGGCTGCCAAGTACGCCGCCTCCAAGAAGACCACCCCCGCTGTCCCCGCTCAGTAAATGAGATCGCCATATAAAATTTACTCCTAGAACTTGATGATTTTGGTGTGTTTCCATTGTGCGGTTCGAGTGATACCCAATGAAGATGAATGTGAATGTGTTGGTTTCACTGTGGCAGTAGCAGGCACCTGGTGGACCTGTGTGCAGACCAATGCTACTATCCTCCTCTTCATGAATTTCAACTTCAACAAACTGATGGACTTGCTGGAGGAAGACAGGCAAAGATTGGCCCATTCAATGGCTTCTACCTCCTTCTCTACTTCTACAAGCAAGAACCAGATGCCATTGCCAAGGAGTTCCAGCCTCTGTGGGCCCCTGTAGATCTCTCAAACTGCTGTGTATGTGCCCATTTCCAAATCTTGGCCTGTCCATTCAATCAGATATTGGCCTAGGACAACATTCAAGACAAATCCAGTCAGGAAGCAGGAAATCCAGTCTGGGAGCAATATCTGATTGTCTTCTACTCTAAGGCACAACAGGAGCAGCATGGTTGGACAGCTGACCACCATCCTGAGGTGGCCATCACTGATTGCACCATTCAACAATGCAACCATCCACTTGTGTTGAAAATTAGCAAATTACACAATTTAATCTAATCAAATTAGTGGTCAAAATGTACAGGAGAGCAGATGGCTTTACTCAGGCAAGTACAAGTTCCACTGTCTCAAGTCTGAAGTGGGCACACCAGGATCAGCATGAACCTCCTTGGTTTCAGGTTGGCCAAACCACAGTAGGGCAGGCACACCAGAGCTAGTGCACAATTTCTCATATTATGCACTAAAAGTCTACTACAGACTGTCAGACTATGTAGGTCAAAGAGTGCAATCCCCAAGCAGCCAACTGACAGCTCGCACACAGGACAAGATTTTGCTGTAACTCCGCAGTTGAGGTCGACAAGAAAGGGAAAACGGAATATCAATTCTCCACTTTTTCCGCAGGCAGACACCAGGACAGGCCACAGCGGGACAAATCCTTGTTCTTTCGCTTGCCTCCCCGCGCCACAACACTTAAGCACCCTCGAGGTCCACCCAATCCGCATTCGAAGTGGAGGATAATTTGGAGGAAGAGATGAAGAGGAAGCTTGATCTCGGCCCGGGCACGGCAGTAAGCTCTCGCGGCGATGCCACGAAGACCGGCACCAATCCCTACAATGGGCGACCCTTCTCGCAGCGCTACTACCAAATCCTGGAGAAGAGGCAGACCCTGCCCGTGATGGAACACAAGCAGTCGCTGCTCGAGAAGGTCGAGAAC